TTTTTTCTTTTAGGTTACAGGCCTACAATACACTATATATTTATATAGCGATAAATTTATCACAAACTTTGTTATCTCCAAATTAGATTATATAGAAGACTAGTTGTTGTTTTTTAATAGTCTGGTTATGATCCTTTTTCAAAATTATTTAATTAACTTTGAGTATTACCTTAGCTGATCTTTGTCTTATAGTATTGGATATTGGAAAAGCTTTAGGTTATTTTCAGTCTTGACCAATTTTAATCTAAGATTATTATTAGGTCCATCTAATAGTTGAACCCTTGGGTTATCCTAAGAAAAAATCGGTAATGATTTAAAAGTATACTCCAAATAAGCGTCGTTACTAATAAGATGTGAAACTGAGCACCTGCATAGATCAACGTAGCTTCTGATGTGCCTAAATTTGGTATAGAGAGAATGATTTTTTGTAGAGGTTCTCTCCACCACCTCCCCCCTTCCCCTTTCCATCCCCCCAACCTATTTTCTAAAAGTGCACAACGTTGATTTCTTATAAATAGCAGTGCGCCCTTCACATTTCCAGCAACTGTGCCTCATGGGAACTACTCACCAAATTCATTTGATCTGTACAAGAAATAATTATCCACGCACAAAATGCAGTTATATATTGTTATTTATCTCGTTTCTATATTCACTAAACGATCTCCGTTTTCAAAGAGCTTACCCCTATTTTCACTTTACTTTTCCTACAAAATTCTAGCTAGATTGGCTGCACCCTATGCTCCGATGCTGATCTGTTTGAAGACAGCCTTTGCATCCGCTACTAAATACAGTCGTTAATCCAAATGTACGATCTCGATTTATTGCAAGCATATGCCAGGGCTTTAGTTCGTAAAAGTGTTTTAGCGTTCAAAATAAATTTGAACGCCAAATTTGAATGTTACGAATACAAAAAGACCCCCAACATTCTTCTCCTTTTGCAAGATCGTTTGTCAAGAGGTGTGTTGCAACAAATTGTTTATAACATGTAAGCGTAAGACGTGGCTCAAACCCCTCATTTATGTTCTTTTATTATCTCCCCCCCCCCCCCACCCTTTCTCAAACCCGACCTGAACAGATGTCTCGGACAGACAGCAGAGAGGGCTCCCTTCGGCACACGTCCTACAAGATGATCGGTCGTGGGAGCAGCCTAAAAACGCCTGTGGTCAAACAAGCTAATGTCATCAAATGTGCCAACGAAACGACGGCCATCTTAGGGGGGTCTGCCATTGACAACGTGTAGATTTGTTACCTTGTCGGTTTTGTCACTGACCCTTTTGCCTTTGCTACTGAAAATGAAATTGTCCGAGTACGTATTATGTTGGGGGTTTTTTTCTAATAGACGTATGTTTAAGCTCGTTTCAGTTAAACAAGTTATTTTCGAACAATAGATTTCATATAAACTTTGTAATACTGACAGAATATAATACTCATCGAAACTTGCATGAATGAATGAATGAATGAATGAATGAATGAGTGAATGAATGAATGAATGAATGAATGAATGAACGAATGGGCTGAGAGAAAGGAAGATGAGGACCTTTTATTTTGTTACTATACGAGGGTGGTTCAATAAGTTATGGAAGATGTGAAGTGTCTCAACAACTTATAACGCTATGGGCCAGAAATGTTCAGTCTCTGGAAATATTCTGGACTCTGTTTGCAGGATTTCAGCACCCATAGTCACTGTAAGTAGGCACATTGCTTTTTTAGCTTCCGGTGTGCTTCGCAACTCTAAATTTACAGCTCTCGTTAAGTCCAAAACATGTTTAAACGTTCACCCAGTAAGCGTATCTTTTTGGAACGGCAAAGACTAGAAGTCACAGACAGCTGAGCCGGGACTGTAGCCTAGATGGGACAAAACTTCGATCCCTTACTCTTGTATGCACAGAGTTGTGGCCCTTACTTTGTAAAAAGTTGCATGATCGCGAAGAAACATTCTGAAAGAGAATCCAATCTTTGGGCTCTGCTCACCAATGGCACAACTGGGGCAGTATATTTTACGCATAGTAAGGAGTCATAATGGTATTTTTCACATGATATCAAGCACAAGCGGACCACTGCAATTGAGAAAGATAGTAAAAAGCCTCTATCTGCTTTGAAATCCTAGACGAGAACGACAGACCTGTCTCCTTTTTCATCTATCCATATGCAGTGCAGCCGTTTTGATTTATTTCCGGAAATTATAATCTATGCTTCGCCTCCCATGACAATGTTTGTAAGTCGCTTAGGCCCACAGATTTATATTGAGCAATTTTGTAGCACATGTTACTCTCTTTCTCTCTTTTAAGTTCCGCAGTTAGTAAATGAAGTATCCAAAGAGCACACGCTATTTTTTTCATACAAAGTTCTCCGCGAACAGTATTTTGCAAAAACCAAATTAAAGTCCAGATAAGTCAATACGTTCTTGTACAGAGGTATTGTGGATCTTGCGAATTCTGATGCTAGATGACATCAGCGGTTTTTTCGTTTGCCTAGGAATTAAGGTGGCCAGAACGTGGGTCGCCAAAAACAGTGCCTCTCCCTTCACTCAATCCTCTAACCCGTTGATAAAAGTCTCATAAAACAAGCAGATTCTCAACAAACACTGCAAAATTTCAGAAATTAGTCTCTACTACTAGGAAAATAGCAAAGTGCGTGAAGATGTTAAACTGATGTTTTATTTTGAGAATTTTACCTTTTTTTCTTTCTGATTACAAACCATCATACTATTTTTGTGGCGTCATGAAAAAAATCAAGAGTGGCGTCACATGAAACTCCTACAGTTGGCTCGAGATTAATTTTGTTTATTTTTTTAAGACTAAAATCAATGTCTTATCCGTTGAATGGAAACTTCCATTACTTTCTGATCCACCCTCCAACAGTTTAAATCGCCACCTAGTATCTAGATAGACAGAAAAGAAAACATGACAGAATGTCGTGCAGGGGTAAATGATACGTTCAGAAACATAATGACGACATTTCGAGCTTTTGTTTGACAAAGGTTCATTTCTAGTTGTATGACGTTGACTTCAAGGCTTATTAAACGTTTAAAAAATATTCGAGAATTCATAACCAAGCAAAGAATATTGGCACTGTTAATCAGGGTGCCTATTTATTGTTTTATATTAACGAAACCCGTGGAATAGCTCATATTTTGCCCTTCCCGGTTTTGGTCAAAAAACGGTTACTCGTGCTCTTCATTTAATGACGGCGGAACTTGTAAAGTTCATAGACAGGGGCTGTTCTTTGTACATGTAGACATTTATATTTTAGTTTTCGAAGACTTTATTGTCATAAAAAGCCTTGAATAATGTACTGCAGTGAATAAAAATGATAATGATAATAATATGAACAAATTATTATTTTCTACGTCACCGTCGTAGGCGCAAGATATAATATGTCATTATTTATAGTCTAAACATTATTTTTAGTTCTTTTCAGTCCACAGGAACGTTTTATTCTAAGATTTCATTGACTGGTCAGCTGTTGAAGATCTAAATATTTCTGTAATTATGTAGCAAAAGCAGCAGTGATATCAGTACCGGAGAAATATATGCTCTCATAGGAGCAGGTCCAAGGGTTTGTTCGTTTTCTGAATACGCACTAAAATAGCAGACCTAACAGGGTTTGTGCTGAAGCAATTTTGAGCGGGTTACACTTTGGAAACCTCTTGGAACAAAGTCATAAAATTCTTTGTCATAATGAGAAAGATATGTAAACCCTAGAGTGCCATACGGTTGAGAAAACACATTGAAACTGATTTTCGTCATTTAGAAAAGATACATTGTTTTCAGTGTCAGTTATGCTGCTGTTTCTAGCATTACCATGGTCAACAGCAGGGAGTTGGGTCGACTTTACAACAGAGTCCATGGCTTGTTATATTGTTGCTATTGTTGCTGTTCGTGCGATGTTCTTGATGTTCATGATTCTATAGTTGTTATGGCTGCAGTACGCTGAATGTGCTCCTTGCTTAAGACCTAGTGGGCAATGTTACATAAATTATGCGGTTGGTGCTATTATGCTGAAATCACTAATGGGCTGTACATAGCAGAACGTCTTCCCTTGCTGAAGTTCTTTCACATTCT